CCGCTGTGAAACTGGTGAGACTTGAAACATTTCTGAGCAGTTTTTCCGCTTAGTGATTTGCTTCTCGGGTGTAAACCTTTCTCAATGCTTAAAGAGACCTGATACATATCTTCTACTGTGATATATCTAAAGAATCTACTGTAATTTTTTTCAAAAGAGCAAAGATGCTTACTTTAATGTTATAGTTAAGTTAGCCACCTTTGCTTTTACAGTGAAAGAATAATAATTTACATTTATATCATCCTGTTTCCTCCTGGGGCTTCACATAAGCTTCCCTCTTATAACACCAGCCTTCCAGAAATCCCATCTTCTGAAACTGAGAAGGCTGTAAGAAGGAGATGAAATTTCAAATCATTACTTATATTCCTTAGGTAGGGCATTGAAGCATATTCTGCTAGCACATGCTATTTTTGGTTGAAAGCTAATAGTTAATATGATTGCAGCCCATCTGTTGGATTGTTCCAAATGACAAAACAGAGATGAAGTATCTCACAAAGCCAAACCGGTGTATGTGCTAAATTGATACTTATTTTCAGAATATCACCACTGTTGACAATGCATTGGTCAGAAGCAAGTCTTGTTAAGTCTGCAGACTTCTATTTAGCACTCATAGACATGATAGGAATGTGTTCTTGTGGAGGGTAAGACCCATATGTTTTCATTTAGATAGTTTTCAGTAAGCTTTTAAATCTTGTTAAAGACCTTGCTAAGCTTGGTTTTGAATGATCAGTTGGGAAACATCATATTTAAAACATTTCTCTATTAAATTCAAATCTCTTGTAGAGATTGAATCTGGCAATTATAAAGAAAGAAAGAAATGGGAGGGAGGAACAAGAGTTCAAATTTGAAAGGTAGAAACCAGTTCACAAAACTGATTGTAATTCTTGGACCCATGTGAAAGAAGAGACATAATGTGGTTCAGTGCATTCATACTGTGTTCTGAGATTCCAGGAATGCTATAACTAATGAAACTATGCTTTTCTCAAGAAAATTTTATCGTCCTATGGATAAGCCTTGCTGTGGACATTTTTACTTGCCCAAGAATGTATTTGAAACGTACTATATTAGGGATGAATCCAGCAGTGAAGAAACTCATTCTATAGAAGCCCCATGTACGTAAGGAGTCAGATTCCTTTTTAGTATTCTTTGAGGCAATTCTGCAAGGTGTTCAGGACCTGAAAACCTGGAACTGGAAGTACTTTTGACCAAGGATTTAAATGTCTCCTTGTTGTTCTATCCACTTCTAATGACACACTGTTATCACTACCTATCAAATGGAATAAATAGACACATCTTAAGCATATACATTCATAGTATCTCCAGAGATCAATGATGACAACTGCAAAAGCACGGTGTCCCCATTGTACATGGGAAGGGAGTGCCAAGGTCACTCAGACTAACATGTTCCAAGTAGACAATTTCTGTTTTGTTGATAAGTCACGCTTTCCATTTGTCACAAAGTCTGTCCAAAGAGGTCAAAGAAATATTGGATCCATGCCTTCCGTGCTCTTTGAGAAAACTTTCAGGTTCAAAGTTTCTGCCAGGCAAAGAAGCTTCTTTCCCCTGCTCCAGTTGTTACAAAAACTCCTGGTGTTGTCTTCAAAAAAAGTTGTTAGTTGCATGGCTTTCTCTACTCAGTTGACATTACTGGTAGTTTTGGATTTTTGAGGTTAGAATGGAGCACCTGTCCTAGGTAACTAAATTAACAAAATAGTTCCTCCAAAGCATGTTCAAGAGCATCTCCTGCCCTGACTCACCACTGTCTTTATTGGTGTACAGGGAGACGAGCTTCCTCATTCAGGCAGTTAAGATAGTTGTCATAAATTAGGCTGTTTGAAAACTCTCATCTGTAGGTATTACCTAAGCTTTTTCTTCCACTGGACAAATGTTTAATCTTTCAGAAAGTGTAGCTTGTTTTTAGCCTTCATACACTTGCCTTTACAATAATTTCCATGAAGTTTTTACTCTCTCAGGTAGTCCCACTGAGCTTAGTGCACAAGTAAAGATTATTTCTATGAGTAATATCTATTGAATCTGATTCTGTATTTGGGTTTTATAACTCAGACCCTGGTCTTTTTTTGTGTTATGCATGCATGTCAATCCTCTCTTGCACATCTCTCTTAATGAGGTCCCTGTATTTTTTTTTTTTTTTTTATCTCCAGTCTTCCTGCTGGTCTTGCACAAAATAACGTGTATAAGGAGAGGGAAATAATGTGGTAATGGATAACTCTGCACCTTTTCCTGCTCTGCCCTGCTTCATTTGTAACTACTTAATCAATTGAATATTTTATGAAACTCTGTTACGTTGTTAACTTTGAAGTAGAATCAAGTTAAAATTCAATGTGTATTTATCTGTATTTGCCATGTTACTGCCCCTACACCGCACAGAGTATCTTAACAGTCCAGCATTTTTGGTGTTGGAGGTTTTAGTGGATAAAACCATTTTTTATTTTCATGAATGCCATTCTAGTCTAACCTGCACTCCAAAATTAAATGAGTTTAGTGGTCTGAGTCCTGTCCCTGGTGAACAATAGTCCACATTACAAAACCACCAAACAGGCACAAAGCTGGCAGTTTCTGCTTGGGGAAACTCAGACCCGGTCAGCGTGGAGGCACAATTACCTCACACCCCAGGGAGTGATTTTTCTGGGTGAAGATTGAGGTCATTCATAAGGCAATAGGGAAAAGCATCTCTTGTGAAACTGGTCTCTTCATCAGCCAGGGAGAGCAGTTCCCAGTGCTGCTGCCATGGGCTTATTGCTCGCTCTGGTTAAGAGGTTTTATAATCTGGGATCTCTGATTTAAGACCACTTCAGTTACATGTGCCATTTACTTTGTAGTAGAATATGTAAGCAAAGACCTTTCATTTTGGAGTGATGTTTTTAGCAGATTATTTGTTGGAATAAGTACCTTAATATAGGTAAATTCATGGTTCTGCTACAATTAGTAACTGTTTTGCCTTTACTTAGAGAGCTGGGATGTTACTGTGAATATGTGAAGGTGCTAGCCTTATGGTAAATATACTAATGTATGTTTATTAGTGCAGTATTGACTGTATCGCCTATTCATTAAGATGTTTTCCCAAGAGTTATTCTGACAGCAAAGCTGAGAGACCTTAAGTGGCTGTCATCTTCGTGCCAAATGGCTTAAAACAAAAAATGCTCAGCACTTCTCAGTAGATCAGTGCTCAATTTCAGCTGGGTCATACCAGGTTAACAAGCCAAAGTGTCAGGTTTCTTTTTTTTTCTTTTGGTTAAAAAAATAAAAAATAAAGTTTGTTTTCATTCATACCATTAGCTATTTCAGATCAAAACTGTGTGAGAACATTTTTGTTTTGGAGCACAGTAACACAATTTAGATTATTTCATACCTGTATTAACAATAAGTGTAAATTCAAATTAATCTAATTATTTTTATTTCATCTGCTGTGGAAATAAGCCTTAAACCTCTAGTGGTTACTGAATAGGGAAAGTGGCTTAAGGAGAAATGACTGCAGGGCTGGCTGTCTGAATCTGCAGAGAGCCTGAAAAAATACCTGGTAAGTGGCAGGTTTCTCACTGATTTCACTGTAATAGCTCAGCTTGTCCAGCTATGGTCATTTACTGTCTACTGCATTAGTAGTTACCCCATCACTGAAGACTAACAAAGCGGGGAATCATAGATTTGTACTATCTGACTTGGGTAGCGTCTCACTAACCTCTAGCTAAGATCATATACAAAGACTGTAACATTGCTATCACTCTAGAGCTCATTCCTGAAAGTCAATTATCAAACCAGAGGGGGCATAGGTAGAGTAATTCTTCCTTGGGTCAGGGCGATGGAGGAGATTGCTCTAAAGGTCCATTCCCCTCTCCCTTTTTATAACATTGGTGGTAAACAAGGAACATTTTTTCCAAAACTGTCATACAGAAGCAAAAGCCCTGGGTTGGAGAGAGGATGTAGAAGGAAGGAGGAACATGCCTCTGGGATGGGCACTGGTGGGAGAAAATTCTTCAGAGTCCAGGAGCTCTGCCAGCACATCCAAATAAACAGCCTGTAGCCACCAAACAAGCAGAGTGAGCTTCTTTCCAAGAGTTTTTTCTCTTGCCTGCAGATTGGGGTGGTCACAACACAACTCTTACCTTCAGCTTACTTTTTCCAGTCTTTAGTTTTCTTCTGTAACTGCAAAGAATAGAATTAATATATTTTTTAAGCACTCCGAAAGCTTAGACTCAAGCATTGTCTTGTGGCCTATGCCACAATCAAGCTCATCATAAAGATAATTGAGAACTACTGGAGTGGGGAGAGAAAGAAGAGTCTTGGCCCAGCAGTGTGCACTAGTTTATTATCACACATTGAAGCATATGTCAGCTGGAGGAGATGTCAGGTTTCTTTTGGATACCTCCACCCTTTGCTCTCCCACTTCATCATCCCCCTAACCTCTGTGCAAAAGCCACAGCTCTGGTACACCTTAGGTACAGTTGGAACCTCATTTGATAGCAGATATTTCTAGTCTTCTCTCCATTTTTATGTGTGGTTAAACTGCAAAACTTTGGACCCTGTTTAAAGTTTGTGGAGTTTTTTGATTTATGTTTGTGCTGTCATGCTGTCTAACCTAATTTTTTTTTTAAATATATTTTGGACAATTTTATCCAAATTCAAGTGTGTCAAAGATATTAAACCCAAGTGAATATCGTGAAAATTGTCAGCTGTGGAGATGAGAGAGAGCCTGATAATGCTGCCACTGTGCGGAGGCTTACCCTTACCCGTTACTTCACATGGGAAAACAATCCTGAGAGAGAGATCAGGGAACACCAGTCTTCTGGTTCTGCTATTTATGGAGCTACTTGTTTATTCTTAGAAATCCTTTGAGGGTACTTTTCTAAACTGAGAATCTACTCTGTACAAAAGTGTCTAGATGGTCTGTGACAAGTGACGTATTACTTTGGTTGTACATGATCACGGCATGTTCTGGTTCCCCTAGTAAAATTGGTGGGGTTTTATTTCTTTCTCTCCCCAAGATTTCTTTCGACCTAGCAGAATATACTGCTGACGTTGATGGGGTTGGCACTTTACGGCTGCTAGATGCTATTAAGACCTGTGGCCTTATCAACTCTGTGAAGTTCTACCAAGCCTCCACCAGTGAACTTTTTGGAAAAGTGCAAGAAATCCCGCAAAAGGAGACTACCCCTTTTTACCCGAGATCGCCTTACGGTGAGGACTGCTGATGGTGTGTGTGTAGTGTCTGTCTGTCTGTTCTCCCCGCTCATGTCTCAGGGCTGAAGTCATTTGGGTGTAAGATTAGAATGATGATAGAGCTAAAGTGACTAGACATGTTGAGAGGCATACCTTTATGAATTACTATATAAAAAGTATTTGCTGCCATTGCCTGGGGGTTGGAAATTAGCATGTCACTTCACAAGCCCATGTTCATTCAGCTCAGAGGTGGAGAGCTCTTGTAGAGAGGTGGGGGAAGGGTGGCTCTTCCTTCACTAAGGGTTGTGAGATACTGTTGAAGTGATAAGGTTTCATATTTTTTGTTGCCTAAATGAAAAACTCCCAAGAGCTCACTCCTTCCTTCATGAACACGCATGAAATTTGAAACACTTATTAAAGCAATGTGCATGGAGGACTTTGGTGATAAAGTTTCAAGTCAATTTGAGTGTTAAGGCACCAGATTTTTGCTTTTATTCCTCCAAAGTAATTTTTTTTTTTTTTTTTTATTAGCAGAGGTCACCACAGTGGCATATTTCACACGCTCTGGCTGTGTTAATTATATCGTAAAAGAAAAAGTGCTATGCTTGAGTGTGCATAAGAAAACAAGTGAGAAAGTGCCCTAACACTTCCTGGCCAGTTCAGAGGCTGCACAGAGAAGGAGTATTTTCCCATTCAGCTGCTGTTTCTTGGGCTGGATATTTTTTCCATATGAAATGTGACACATACATGGAATGAATCAAATTCTAATGCACTCTGCTGTTGAAATGTGGACTTCACCCTGTGTGTGAGAGAGATGTGTATGTGTGTCTGTCTGAGCTGCGTACAAGCAGAGTGGATATACGTAATGCTTTAAAATTATTTTTGTAGGGGCAGCAAAACTCTATGCCTACTGGATTGTGGTGAACTTCAGAGAGGCCTACAATCTTTTTGCTGTGAACGGCATCCTCTTCAATCACGAGAGCCCCAGGAGAGGTTAGAAAATCCACGTGAAACTGTTCCCAACTTTGCGTACATCTGACCGAAAAAATGAAACAATGCATCCACAGGTTTCATTTAAACTTGCCAAAATTCTGTAGGGAGGGTGTCATGACTTGTAGCCTGCTCATGGCATTTAATGCAGCCCTTCTGGCAGTCTTCAGAGCCTGCAGAACAGCAGCTTTCCCTTTCAAGCATCATATTCCATTACATAGCCCTCTGACACTGAAGGGAAGCTTGTGTATCTGATTTTGTGTATCAGTGCTCTCGAGAGACTGCAATAATGTCGTAATATCCCTGAGTTTTCTTTCCCTCTTGATAACAAGTTAAGGGTAAAATGTTAAAATGACACATTAAAAGACAGGTTTTCTAAATGTTTAGGTGGGCAACTGCATAACAGATGCAATTTCAGGTGTGACTTGTACTCAAGATTTTTACTTGTGTATAAATGTGATATCAAAAGGCAGAAATAGTAGACCATCTAAATTCATAAGACTAATGAGTAGAGCCTGGTATATTTTGAAAAATTTGTGGATTATGGCCCATACTTTCTGACAAGATGGCTTTTAACACATGGCTTTAAAATGCCTTTCTGTTTAACCCTTAACAGCAATGCAGCTTAAATTCCACTTAATCATCCCTTTTCCTCTTGCAGTACTTTATGAACAATTAATACTGGTATTTAGTTTGAGTAAGAGTCCACGGTTGATTAAAAGTCTATTATACAATGACAGTTTCCCTCTGCCCTTTTTAAAGTACTGTGACTGTAGAAAACACTCTAAAATTAAACTTCAAATTAACACAGAAAACTGGATTCTCAGTGCAGAAGCCTTTTATTGTGGTCTGTTTCTAAATGAAAAATAAATTCAAGTTTTACAGGAATGCAATTATCTAAATTATAGCCTGGCACAAAATATAATAATTTTAATCATACTTACAAATATAAAATAGACCATAATTGCAACTCTGCTTAAAAAAAGAAAAGAAGAGAAAAAAGGTGTTGGTGTCAATAGGTTTTAAATATTGATTTCAGTCTTTGGGTGTCACAACTGCAAAACCTCATAGTACACCGAGTAGGCAGCATTTAGAGTAAGTGGTGCATCAAATACTTGGTGGTAGAAGTTGGTGCATCACTTCACTGGGGCAGATGACACTACAAGTTCAAATTTAAAAGAGAATCAAATTCACTAGATTGTTTCATTTTGAAGTCCTAATACTTTGTGTTTTTTAAACAGTTCACTGCAGTATATTCTTGGAGCACTGTAAGCTGATGTCCAAATTGCTCTGAGTTACCATTACGCAATTAAAATATTCTGACCAACGTAAAGAATGAGGGACTATGCAATGACAAATATTAGCTTCGCATGATTTCTAGTAACACTAAGGAGCTACGAGATGAGATGGAAATTATAGGAACACATTCACCATTTGTGCTGCTTCTCTATAGGCTTGTGCCATTTGGAAGGAGGAAAACTTCAGTGCTTGTTGTATTTTGATCCCTCTGACATTTGTTCCAGCTTTGACACTGCTGCAGTGGAGCTTCCAAGCTGAAGTCTCTTTTCAACACATTTAATGTCCCCGTGGGGAACTCAAGTCTATGCTTTGAAGTCTCAAGCTGTACTTTTGGTTGTGTGTATGTACTGGGTGCAGGTTTAAACCCCTTATGCCATGAACAGGAATCTTGTCTTAAAAATGGTTTTGATTGGCTCTGTTCACCTTAGCAGGAGTACATGTACATGCCATGGAACCAACTGTAACCACAGCCCAATGCCATTTGCTTAGTGTTTTTATGGGAGAAAGTCTGAAAATCTGTACAGAGAAGAAAATGGAAGAAAAGTAGTTTTGAGGTTGTTTCTCAATGGACATTCATCACTTTCCTAATGTTTTTGAAGACTGCAAAGGCACTTTGGGAGGAAAAGAGGATTTCTAACTGGGATTTCTAATTCCTGTACAGAGTTGGTAATATACACAGAAGTTTTAAAATGTCTTATGGTTTGGCCTTTTTTTTTTTTTTAAATTCTATTGATTTCAGAGATTGGGAATACCTAAATACACCAATACATATTTTTTTCCAATATTACATACCATTATTCCAGTTGGTTTAGTGTTACACTGAATTGATCAAATACAATATCCCATTGATGGTGATACTAAGTGCCTCTTGTCCACACAAAACATAACACCTGGGAATCAGTGGAGGGCAGAAGGCTGTGGCAGTGCCACTTGCTGAGGTGCACAGTTGATCTGTCCCGGCAGACAGTGCATATTTTTTCCCCATATCTGAAGTGTTCAATCATACTTCCGAAAATTTCTGTAAGCTTCCTACAGTGAAT